ATAAATTCATAATAAAACATAAAGTAAACATAAATCAAGAAGAAATATGTAAGAAAAAAAACTTATACGGTTGAAGTTAGATGATTATCGTTTACTCCGTCTTTTATTCACGCTTTTAACTTTCAGACAAATTATGGATGACACATGTGTAATGATCTATAACCAATCAAATAGCTAACATTAAGCAGTCAATGAAATAATAACCAAGGAAATTTTTGGGAAATTTAACAGAAAATTCAAATTAATCATGATTCTCGACTCGGGAACATCGAGTTCAGACACAAAAATTAAAGATAATGATCATAAAATAAAAAATTCCAAGGTAAATATATAATTAGTTTTTCCATCTACTCTAATTAACCAAGTGATCAATTCTCTCAGTTCTGGTACCAATTATTATTATTATTTTACCGCACATTTTTACATTTTATTATTCAACTAAAATTTTAATTAAGACACTTACTGTACAATACAAAAACAATCTATATATTTTTGGCATTTAGTTTAAACAATTAAATTACGTGATTATTGATTGCTTGACAATAAATATATATTATATATATTATATATAAATATATATTTCTTTCAGATCAAGATGCTATACGTAGGCATAATGTGTTTCGCTACTAACTGTCTAAGCTCAATCGCTCTGGAAACTGGTTCACGCAGTTCATTTCGTTCTATTTCGCCAACGAGACCTGCGGTTTTTAATAATTTATTCCGCCGCAATTACAGTAATTAAGCTTCAGCCTCACACGATTAATTAACACGAGTATAACAATGATAGAAAATAATTTAATTTTGTTTGACGCAGATTTGAGGATCAAGATAATGATAGGAGATGTGCTTGCGGCATTGGTATCAACAACGATGCTAACAATCGGCGATACCTATGGAATTCCGTATCTTTATTTGCCATGGCTTGTCAACACTATCCAAGGAATGGTTTTTCATGAAGGGCCAGCTCTTTTCGAATTGGCATACAGCGTATTACCCACTGCAAACTTGCCCACGGGATTATTTATGTTTATAACATTACTTTTATATGGTAAGATACTTGAAAATGTGCAGTTAAGGTTATAGAACTTTATTCATGAATATAACAAGAAATTGTTTAATTCCAACTCATATGTGATTCATGGAATTGAAGAAAACTTTATCGAAAGCTTCTCAAAGTTCATTTCACTATATAATTTCATTATAAATTATAGATATATAATATTTATAACATTAATGTTCAGCAGGAAGAACTATTCAACTATTTTTCCATTATAATAGAATAGTATTAAAATTAAATTAAATTGTCAAATTTGATAAATAATTTACTGATTTAAACTCACACTCACGATTAAGGCTCCTACTGGCTCAATTGCCAAGTCCACGTTGACAGTACACATAGCGTCACTCTGGGCAAAATTGTGAACTGTAAAGCATGAAAAATGACGTTAAGAAGCTAAATTATTTTTGCAGCATCATTTTTCGTTTTAGTGCAGTTTTTATGTATAAAATAATTTTCGTAGTGTTAAAATATATCAAAGACTCCCATTTTGTTATAACTTAATACCAGTATATTTTAAAAATGCATTCTCTTAATTACAAATTTAATTAAAAAAACATTTCTATTTTTATGTACGTTGCAAGAATTTTCATTTCTCGCTTTTGACGTCATCAATGGCTGGCTGGCAGTGAGTGAACAGGAGCCTTAAGTCGAATGATACGTAAATAAAACTAAATTTTATTCTTTAGTGGAAGAACTATGCATCTGGAAGGACATTTTAGGGAATTTTGAACGTTGCTGGAAGAAATATAATCAAAATAACAAACTAAAGAAGAATACAAAATCGACAAAGATGCCAAATAAAGAGTTATGCAACAAAGTTAAAGAAAGCCTCATGGAAAATGTAGTTTCACGAAAATCAACAACAGATCAGCAAAATTCTACAACTCATTTCAATGAATCTAACAATCATGATATTACTAAGCCTGTTGCAAAAAACATAAATGACAATGTATCGATTAAAGATCGTCGTAGCAAAAGTCCGTTTACGGAGGTGACTGGTTAGATCAATTAATTATTTCTTAAATAAATAGAAAATTTAGATCAATCACATGATTCGCGATTCAGAAATATAGAATTCAAATATAAAAATTAAAGATAACAATCGTAAAATTCAAAAAAATTAAAAGTAAATGTAAAATTAATTTAATAATGCATCAATATCGGTGCATATTAAATTAATTTCAGTCCCCTCCGTTCGACCTCTGCAGCAAAATAACAATTGCCATAAAATACAGTTAAAAAAATTTAACAAATGATTAGAAAAAAGAATAAAAATGCTGTAACAGCTCAACTAAGCTTGTGTTTAGTCGCTAATTAACTCTAAATATGACTGCTTAAATTTTAAGATTTTTTTAAAGATTTTATAACAAACCTATTTTCAAAATTTCTCTAAAAATCGCATTCTATTGAAATTTTATGAAAATATATTGCTTTAGGGCCGGTTGTTCCAACCTGTTGGTAAACTAACTGACAGTTAAATCATATATATGTCTTTGTTTATCTTTTACATTAGACAAAGATAGACATATGATTTCAGTCCCCTCCGCTCGACCTTCGCAACAAAATAATAACTGCCGTAAAATACAGTTAAAAAAAATTAACAAATGATTAGAAAAAAGAATAAAAATGCTGTAACAGCTCAACTAAGCTAACTATTAGTTAGCTTACCAACAGGTTGAAACAACCGGCTCTTTTAGACTACAAAATACATTAACTTTGCAAATAGCAACGACTTCTGCTCGCATTTCGCATACATTTACTGCGTTTCGATATTCACTGCCAGTACTAAAAATCTATAGTTTACGTCACGTATACTGTAGACTTTCAATACTGTCATTACTGTCAGTGAATATCGAAACCCAGCCATAGTTCCACGATTACGTCGAGAATCCGGGAATGTCGTAGGGAAGCAACCTGATAACCTCAATAAGAGGAAAAATAGAGGAGAGATGATTATTACGACATACCGATGAATCGTTGCAAACAACCGCTCATCCAATGATTGACACGGCACTCCGACTCCCGACATATTCGATTCACAATTCACACGTCACGATTGACGTTAATTACAACGGCTGAGAGTGCTGAGGCTGAGACCCTCGTTCGGATATTCTAGACCCAACGCGTCCGATTAAGAAAGAATTTATTTTCCAGACTTAACTAGGAAATTATATCTCGGGTTCGAAACTTGTCTCCGAGAATTGTTAAGAAAAAGAGAGATGTCCTTTTCAACGCCGACCACGAGACGGACACGAGGGCGACGTTGGCGCTGCTGATCGCGACAACGATCGCTGACGACGCTGACTATCAATCGACGTTTGCGAGAGCGTATATTAATTAACGCGGCGTCGCGACGCGCGCACTCGATTTCCGTCGTTTATAGGCACGCGCTAGCCCGCTGTACTTTTATTTTTTATTATTTTATACGCGAGGACGTACGTGACGTACGTACATAGTTACATATACATACCAAACGCCAGATCTCGCTTCACGACTCCGCGAGTTCGACGCGGCGGGCGGGAAACGCGAACGTTCGCGCATGCGCGCGTCACGTTCGCTACCGCTGCATTCTTTAAGCCCCTTGCACAATGCCGGGCAACAGGCAATGGGAATAGGAAAACACCAAGGTTGCGTTCCAAAATTCACTCCGAGTAACTAAAATCTATAGTTTACGTCACGTACACTATAGCATTTTAGTTAACTAGAGTGAATTTTGGAACGCAGCCCAAAAAATCGTTAATTACAACCTAAAAAATTTAAATGCTGATTGATTGGCAACAGGCAATAGGCACAGAATTTCCAACGCTACGGAAACTCTGTATGTCTATTACCTGTGTCACTGTTTATTTTATACATATTTATACATATGATTTCTGATTTCTATTCCCTGTTCCTATTGCCTGTTGCCTGGCATTGTGTAAGGGGCTTAATTTTCGACAAACAGATGATTACGATCCGTATGATATTCAAGCGTTCGTGGACAGCGACGTTGTGTCCAAGAGCGACTTTACCGTCCATGTTACAGGAATATAATAATTATCTATCGCGCGATTTATTTGTGACGCGAAGATAAAAGACGCAAAGAGAATTTCGTTTACCTTCGAATTCGCCACGTCGCAGCGCGAAACTAATCGCGCATGTGCATGGTAAAATTTAAAACCGTGGAGCATAAAAGAATCTAGAGGCTGTAACGTATGGAAAAAATGAGTAATAGAATCAATATAAAAATAAAACTGTAAACGCTTTCTTGATTGGTCAATTAGTAAAATTCCTTGTTCTAATATGGGTCAATCAAACGCTTCGAACCATTATTTATAGCGTCAAGTGGACCGTAGCCTATAATTACACATTTAGGATTTATTGCATTCCCAAACGCTATTAATTAAAATGTAGAATTGAAGTAAGGAAATATTGATAAATATAAAAATATTATAAGAATTAAAGCGCAGCCTGCAAATATAAAATATTTATAAATAAGACTGTAATTATTTATTGTATTAAATATATTTATATAATTATATATTTATGTATATGTAAATACATATTGGGAGCTTTCCAGCAAGCGACACAAGTCGACATAAGTATTGTTTTCTCTTTGTCACTTATTGCCAAAAAAGAAAGATAGAATGGACGCGTTCAGCAGACACAACTGTTGCACAATTGTTGAGTTCGTCTTATCAATACTCTGCGTTGATTAGGTGGTTCTAAAAGTAAGAACCAATCACGTTCAATTGCTACTGAGCGGTTTGGTCTGCTGAACGCGACCAATCTATCTTTCTTGACTTTTGTGTCGATTTGTGTCGCTTGTTGGAAAGCTCCTTTTATTCTTTATTTAATTTCGAGATTCGTTCCTATTCAACTCCCAAGATGGCGCATATGCCGTAAACGGAGTGGCTGGGAGTCTGGGAGTCTACCTTCTGCACCGAGAGTTCTGATTGGCTTCTGCTTTCCTGCTTTCTGCTATTCTGCCAAGGTGTGAATTTTTCCGAAGAGTGTAGTTCTCGTGGCTCGTGGTTCTGCTTTCTTTCTGTTCTCGGTATATCGTTTCTAGGTTAATGTGCTGGGGATTATTTTACATTATTTCCTGAGATCACATGATAAATGTATATCATATGTGAATTTTGAAGGTGTTTGTGAAGCGCGTTTCAACCAACTGCTTCATGAATGCGAAAACTACGATCTCGTAATACAGCACTCGGTTTTCTTCTCGAGTGACAAATGTTAGAGGTTAGTATGTTTTTCAAAATTTATTTATTTTTAACAATTAAACATTCCGTTTTAAACATAATTATCTGTTTGTGGTACTCAATTGTACAAGCATTTTAATAAAATGCAACACATTCTGTTTATTCAATGGTAATTCTCAAAATATAATTTGTGTCTTTTTATTTCAGGAGATGACAATATTTTACTGATTTTTGATATATAGAGTATATATCAAAAGAAAAATGTCAGACGATCCAAGCTTGTATAGATTAGAGGGAACAGTAGGGGATCAAGCAGGTGGTCTGGTCATACGTAAGAAAGCTTCGGACCACACTTTCAAGAAGCCTTCTATCCTCGGTCTCGACAAACTTGCAGAACGAAAAAGAAGGGAACAATCGCAGGAACCTACCAGTTCCAAGTCTAACAAATCTGAAGGAAAAGACAGAAGATATCGATCTTACGAAGAGGAAACTCCTACTCATACTGGAGGTGTCAATTCCGAAGCGCAACAGAGATTGGAGGCGCGACTCAAGCGTCAGCGATTAAGCGCGGATGATAGGAATTCTAGAAATTCATATAAAGGACGTGAGAGAGACAGAGATATGTACAGGCGAAGGGATCGCGACAGTCGGAGCAGAGATAGTAGCGTGAGGCAAACACCTCTGAGATTTAAAGACGAGCCCCAGACGCCGAAGTTCCGAATGAGAGATCCAACTTCTAAGAGCAATTGGGACGATGATGAAGACGAAGAGCCGAGACGATCGAGCTGGGATCATCCGACACCGAATCTTTATGGTAACAGAGATGGTCGCGACAGTGTCAGAAGTGAATTTACTCCTTCTTATAAGTACAACTCGTGGAACAAAGATTTTAAGAGTTCCGGTGCCACTCCAATGATAGACGGAGAGGAGAAGGAACTGTGGGAAGAGGAACAGCAGCGACTAGACCGAGAGTGGTATGCGCTAGACGACGGAGAGAATAACGCTTTCGCCAATGTGTCCGAGGAATATACACGAAAGAAAGAAATGGAATTGGAGGCTAGGAGGCAGAAACGTCTTTCCGCCCAGCAACGACAGATAAATAAGGACAACGAATTATGGGAGCGTAATCGTATGTTAACGTCCGGAGTGGTGAGCTCGTTGGACCACGACGACGATCCTGACGACGAGGGAGAGGCGAGAGTTCACTTGCTGGTTCACAACGTGGTTCCACCGTTTCTGGATGGGCGCATCGTGTTCACGAAGCAGCCGGAACCGGTTGTACCCGTGCGTGATCCCACTTCCGACATGGCTATGGTAGCGAGGAAAGGTTCGGCGCTGGTCAAGGCATACCGTGAGCAAAAGGAGAGACGTAGGGCGCAGAAGAAGCATTGGGAACTGGCCGGAACGCACATCGGCAATATTATGGGTGTACATGATCGACGTAAAGACGACAAGGAGCTTGCAGGGCAAGAGACGGACTTCAAGGCCGGACAAAAGTACGCTCGGCACATAGGGTCCGGAGAGGTGACGGGAGAAGCTAGGCACAGATCTATACAGCATCAAAGGAGGAGTCTCCCTGTGTTCGCGGTACGTCAGGAACTGCTGAACATTATCAGGGAGAACAACGTCGTTGTAATAGTAGGTGAAACCGGTAGCGGCAAAACTACGCAATTAACGCAGTATCTTCACGAGGACGGCTACAGTCGCAACGGTATTATTGGTTGTACTCAGCCTAGAAGGGTCGCTGCTATGTCCGTCGCGAAAAGAGTATCCGACGAGATGGCCACTGCTCTAGGCGAAAAGGTCGGATATGCGATACGTTTCGAAGACTGTACTTCGAAGGATGTAAGTGACAGTAATTTAAATATAATTTAAACATCCATATGTTTTGTCTAAGATATAAAACTCGTATATGTTTTGATACCATGCATATAACATACAAATTTTATCTTTACAGACGGTCATCAAATACATGACCGACGGTATTTTACTAAGAGAAAGCTTGAGGGAAGGAGATCTGGATCGTTACAGCGTGATTATAATGGACGAAGCTCATGAACGATCACTTTCCACCGACGTATTATTTGGTCTCCTTAGAGAGGTATAGTTCGCGTTTTGTTCTTGTATTATTTTAACATTCCCATATCAACAGTCTTTTTAATTAAAAAATGTTTACAGGTTGTCGCTAGACGGCATGATTTAAAATTAATCGTCACTTCCGCGACGATGGATAGCAGCAAGTTCTCCGCTTTCTTTGGAAATGCGGCAACATTCCAAATACCTGGACGCACGTTCCCCGTCGAAGTGCTGCACGCGAAAAATCCGGTCGAGGATTACGTGGACGCGGCTGTGAAGCAGGTCTTGCAGATTCATTTGCAGCCCAAAAGCGGCGACGTATTGGTCTTTATGCCCGGTCAAGAGGACATCGAAGTCACTTGCGAAGCTCTGAAAGAACGTTTAGCCGAAATCGAATCGGCTCCGCCTCTTTCCATCCTGCCTATTTATTCCCAGCTGCCGTCGGACCTGCAGGCGAAGATCTTCCAACGATCCGAGGGAGGTCTTCGCAAATGTGTCGTGGCGACCAATATAGCAGAAACGTCGTTGACAGTCGACGGAATCGTCTTCGTCGTAGACTCGGGATACTGTAAATTGAAAGTGTACAATCCTCGAATAGGTATGGACGCTCTGCAAGTGTATCCCGTGTCGAGAGCGAATGCTGATCAGAGGCAGGGTCGAGCCGGTCGTACCGGTCCTGGTCAATGCTACAGATTGTACACGCGAAGGCAATACTTGGACGAATTATTATTAACGGGAGTTCCCGAGATACAACGTACAAATTTAGCTAACACGGTACTGCTACTGAAATCGCTGGGAGTTCAAGACTTATTGGCGTTCCATTTCATGGATCCACCGCCGCAAGATAATATATTGAATTCGTTGTATCAGTTGTGGATCTTGGGGGCACTTGATCATACCGGGCGCTTGACACCCCTCGGACGACAAATGGCCGAATTTCCCTTGGATCCACCGCAATGTCAAATGCTTATAGTCGCTTCTCAACTTGGCTGTACCGCGGATATCCTCATTATCGTCTCCATGCTGTCGGTTCCATCGATCTTCTATCGACCAAAGGGACGCGAGGAAGATTCAGATTCGGCACGCGAAAAGTTCCAGGTGCCGGAATCAGATCACCTGACATATTTAAATGTATACAATCAATGGAAGGCGAATGGTTATTCGAGTTCCTGGTGTAATGACCATTTCATACATGCAAAGGCGATGCGCAAGGTGCGGGAGGTACGGTCGCAGCTCGAGGAAATTCTGAAGCAACAGAAGATGGACGTCGTTAGTTGCGGCACCGACTGGGACATCGTACGAAAATGCATCTGTTCCGCTTACTTTCACCAAGCGGCGCGCTTGAAGGGCATCGGCGAGTACGTCAATTGCCGTACTGGAATGCCTTGCCATCTTCATCCCACCTCCGCGCTGTTCGGCATGGGCTTCACACCTGACTACGTCGTATACCACGAGCTCGTGATGACCGCCAAGGAATACATGCAGTGTGTCACTGCAGTGGACGGTCACTGGTTAGCTGAATTGGGCCCAATGTTCTTCAGTGTGAAGGAGACTGGTCGAAGCGGTCGTGCGAAACGACGGCAAGCGATGCAACACCTCCACGAGATGGAGCATCAGATGAAAGAGGCCGAGGAAGAGATGAAGGCACGCGCTCAGGAGCAACTCGAGCGAGAACAGGCATCAGTCCGAAAGAAGGAAATTTTAACGCCTGGTGTTAGGGAACCGGGTACCCCCGCCCCGTATCGTAACACACCCGGAAGATTAGGATTGTAATCGGTTTTACATTCCTAAGCTTTCAGTTTTTTTATGTACAATGTCGTGAATTAGGGTACCTATATGTTTGACAAACAGAGGTCTTTTTCCCTACTGTAATACTGAAGTTACTACTGTATAAAATAATATAAGAAAAAAATAGTAAATATAGCTTGACAATTTATCGCTGTGGCTGCAATATCAGTGATGAAATTTTTAATCTTAATGATCTCTGGATTTTGTTGGTTTCCATTTTTCTTGCAGCACAAACAATACATAATTATAATATACAATTACATTATAAACTGTATTTTCAGATTAGGTAACAATTTAATCTCTGACTCTAAATACAAAATGATAAATATACATATAACACAATTGAAATTTTTTAGATAATTAATATTGTACAAAATACTATGTGTATAAAATATTATCGCTGGATGTAATGAAATTTTTTGTAAATAAAATTATTTTTATTGTAATATTGATTGCTCTTTGTCATAGCCTTATGAGTAAATCTTAGTGCTTGCATAATGGGTCATAGATATAGAAAGCATTGGTATAACTGATAGTCAATCATGTTACATAATGTGCACATTAATAGGCATGCATAGTTTAAACGTGCCCAAAAAAATTTATGTATGTTTATTAATTACACATTAACGATACAATCAACAGTATATCATTCTTTTATTTTAACTGAAGCAATTGCGCAATTAAAATAAATACATAACTGTCTGTATTCGTATGAGCAATTTATTCCCTTCCAGTAAGCAATTTATCATTTTTTTAAACCAGATTCTATCAGATTGTTTAACAATTAATAACCAATTACCTAATAATGAATTTATTAATATATATAATTATGAAAGAAAAACAACATATATCATATTGTCACAAAATATAATTAAATGCAACCCACGAGCATTATTCTTTAAAATGTTTATGAAAATAGTTCATAAAATACACGATGTTGATTTATGCGAGAACCGACAGACTTTTTGCGATATACAATATGTAAAATAACTACATATTTTAATGCAAAATATGCAAAAAATGGCACGTAACTAGAAATAGATAGACCACGATTTTAAATCGATAAAATTAATCCCTTTTTTAGTTCTGAAAATTTTACAAATTTCAAAAGTATTATTTTAATTTTTACATTTATTACTTGGTTCAAAGAATGTACTATTGTAGTTGTAAGCTGATCAGATGGCAGTGTAGTGAAACAACTGTATAGTATTTTTCATAAAAATGAAGGTAGGCTTCAGGTATTTTAATCAGCATTAAACCATTCATTCATTATTTATAATTGAATTGGGGCTAAGAATTATGTACAGAACTCTCGTCATTTTTGAAAATTATGAAAAGTAGACGGATATAGATGTTCTTTGTACAAATACTGTCGAATAGTTTCAGCTTTTTAAATTACTTAAAAGCCTTAATATAGGCTGGGTGCGTGATTTGAGGGATCTGCAACTTTGTCGGAGACTCGCTTGGCCGCGTTTTGTAATTATCACACATACATCGTCCTTCTCATCTAATCCTGTGTTTAACTCGTATTTTTCAAATTCTGTTAGGACCGCATCTAAATTTTCGACTCTCTCTGACAGTAATACAGCTACTTCTCTCCAAGTCTGTAATACAATAAATTAATTGTTATAAAAATTGATTTATAATATACTGAAATTTCACAAATATGAACAGTTACTATTTTATATAAAGTAATATGACAAAGATAATTATTTATGACTTTACTTCTATGTATAAAACGTTACAATTAATAAAAAAATTTACCTTGGTCTCATTGGTCTCGTTTATCATGTTTGACTCGATTTTTTTATTATATTTTTTCTTATTTTTCTTTTGCGATTGTGAGCGTGGTTTCGATTGTACCGCACACGCACTACATATAGCGCTAATGATCGCTAAAGATTCGCTACAAGTTGAAGCTCTAAGTAAGAAGTTTTTGAAGGATACTGGCGTATCCCGGTCAGGGATAGGTAATGTTTGTAAGCAAGGTGCTGTTCGCAGCATCTGTATGCAATCGTAGTCCGGACAATGAGAATGAGAAAGTGATTTTGCAAGGCACGCTATAGTCCTTAATTGCTCCGATTGATAAGCTTCACGTAATCTTTCTACAGCATCAAGTGGAATCAATATTTTGCATGGTCTCTTCCACTTTCCATCCGTGCCAAATTTTTGTAATACAGTCGGTATACTTTCTTCTGCTAACTCTTTAAGCTCGGCAGATATTTGAGAAAGATAAAGAGAAGATGATCCGGCGCTCGCTGCCAAGATGCGCAATATGGCATTTCTCGCCGAAAGTAGTTTTAACATACATATGCGTGTTTCCTCCTGCATTCTTGGATCCTCCTCACTCTGACTAAGCGGTTCCCATCCGCGAACAACCTATTTAACATCATAATTTATTAAATTTATCACTGATATTAAATCAGAGCCTTATAATTCTTCGAATTATATTGCGATTCCTGAAAATACTTACCTCCAAATCACGATTATCTCGCAAAGACGCCCATCTAATTGAATCGAGATGGGGTTGGATATGCATATTGTTCAAAGTAGAAAACAAAGAAGTAGTACTGTCACACCAGCACAAATCGAGCAGCATTTTATCTACAGTCGTCATAGCAAAGTGAAACGAATTTTCTAGGCGCTCTCTTAATTCCACAAAATCTTGAATTTTTATAAAACTCCCATATTTATATGCAAGGGTTAAATGATCCGCGCTCTAAAAAAAGAATTGTAAAGTTCATGTCAATTAGACATAAACAGTCTTGTCTGTTTTCCTTAAATCTAGTATGCTTGAAAACACATACATCCTTATAGTTGGCTATGAAAAATTTCGCTGTATGATCAAGAGTTGTCGAGGCCAGAGGTAAGTTACCGAGAGGCGCGAGAAGCGGCGCATGGAGATGACCCAGTGAATCTAGTTGAAGGTGCTTTACATCAAGTAATGCGAACGCATGATCAGCCGCGACCACTAGACCAGCTTCCAAGTAAATACGCACAAGTAAAATTTTGATGTGAAAATTTACAGGACTCGACAGAAGACCGTGTTCCAATAATGACATTGCCCTGTAAATCCATTGTTTAAAAAATGTGCATGTTTTCAAAGTGTCATTAGCACTTTTTCATTAATATCAATTAGCTTTGTTGTCATGTTGATATGACAAAAAAAAATTATATTATTACCTATAAAGAAAAGATCCATCATTAGTATCAACCCATAATTGATGTAACAAATGCGTAGCTAATAGGATGTATGGGTCTGCTGGACAAAAATCAGTTGGCAATCTATCTTGCATTGGACACAATTCATTGCCTTTTTCATATAAATCGCACAATCGCTTTATCAATTGTTCCTGTTTGTCCTTGTCTGCTAAAGGAGGATGATAGAAGCCACAAATACGCCGCAATTGTTCCAAGTGAATGTGCCTTTGCATTTGTTCTACCGTAGTCGGAAACTCATCTGGTGCAATGCCAATGTCTTCCTCAATCTGCAATATCATAAATAACATTCCATTAAGCAGTTGCAACAATCACTTTAATATTATCAAAATAGAAAAAGTATATATACTAAATACTTATTGCATCGTTTTATATTTAAATTGACATAAATATTGAAACTTAAATTTTATTATAAATATTTTAAAAATATGTATTTAAATTTCATGTTGAATTGCTTTCCTTACCTTTTCAAATAATTCAAACTTAGATTTGGGTGTAAGTAGATTTAGATATAATCGTAAATCTCCAACTACACATCCTTTTTCTCCAAATTGAGAAAAATATTGATGCATAAAATTCATAGAAGTCATGCTATATTGAAGATCTTCGGTCTCGCAACGCTTTAATAATTCTAGGCGGGCCAAATATGGAGCACGAATTTTCTTCTCAGACATATTAATAATGTGATTGAAAAAATCCAAGCATTCTGTCAAACGTTGAAACTTTAAGGCCGCCGAAAGATAATTTTGATAAAATGCCCAATTGTCGATGCTGTATAACAAATATGACAATCTTAAATAATGCAGGCTTAAAGTTATTTATATCAAAATGCTACAAACATGTAAAGTGACGAGAAGAAATATCAATATTTGGTCTTACTTCTCTTCAATAAGTGCGCGATATGCATTGGCCGCTTCAGGAAAACATTCTAGTTTCAATAAACACGTAGCCTTTCGTTGAGGTACATACGAGACGTATGAAGCTAAAGGACTAGACAATACATTCAATATTTCCTCATTTTTGTCTTGCAGTTCTAAGATCATCAGATAAAGTTGCACTTCCTGTTCCGCTTCAATCTTTCCTTCTCTTACTAGTTTTAGGACCTAATATAGTCATGAAAAAGAATTAATTGTCTTTGCAATATTTATTATTATGTGTCAAACTAATGAACTCTATAATTCCATATACGCAATAATAGTAAACAGTAAACAACAATCAATATACTGACCATTCTTTCTGCCAAAGGCAAGATAACTCCTTTCGCTAACTTCTGATCAGCATGAATAGCTTGCATCACTATACTCATAACAGCCCAGAAATAATATGGATTTTTATGAGTCAGTTTATACAAATTGAGAGCAGTTTGCTGTTGTTTCTTATAATCGCCGAGGCGAACGTACGACATAAAGAGATGCGTTAGGAGCTCTTCGTTGTTCGGATCAGCCTTTGCAGCGGCTTCATAAAGCTCGCTAACTTTATCCGCTATACGCATAAATATAAAAATTGAACATAATCGTAATACAATTAAATCTTAAACGTGATCTTTATGTCTCAAGGCAGAAAGACGAGCTAAGAACCTACGTTGATGTATCTCCCTGTAGCAGATGCTCATCGCCTGCAGGGTAGAATCCTCGCAGGGCACCTCGGAGCGCACTTTGTCCATAATGGCCTGGCACTCATTTTCCTTGCCCATACGCAACAGGGCCAGAGCCTTGAGCACCCTGGCGCATTGGTTAGTTGGGTGCTTCTTCAGCACTTTGTCCGCCTCCTGGAGGGCCTTTTTGTTATTTCCATTGTCCAGCCAGTCTGAAACCCAGAGAGAGAAGGCCTCGTACCGGGTGCCATTATATAACCTCGTCACCAGTCCCGGAGTCGCGATCGAGCGACCCGGCGGGACTGTGCGGGACGGATTTGAGGTACGGTCGTCGTCGTCGACGCGGGCATACGTACCGTAAATCGGTCGCAAGCGACGTTCGTTCACCGTGTTGTCCACATGGCCCTTGGACGCCATACTTTTTGCGGTAGCATAAAATCAACAAACCAGAGACACGCACGATCGCCGATCACATCGGCGCATCTTCGACGATCCCGCGGGGACGATTCCGGGGCCGATATATTTTTACGCGCGCCTATCACGCGCCAGACCAACCTCGACGCGACGGAGCACGCTATTGCACGAAAATATTTTTAATTCTTATCCCTCTCCTCATAAGAATCGTAGCTGGTGAAAAGAATGACCGGACACCGGACCGGGCCGCGCTAGGTGGCTAGGTCCCTCTCGTCTCTCGGCTCTCCTTGGAGAACGCAGTAACAGAGTGGAAGGGACGTGGCGAGCCTGGCTGGCTGAATCAACCGGGCACGCTTCAGCCCGTAGTATTTGAAGTCCGTTCATTTTTTATTTGCATTTTTCGGTACAGAGGTTCCCGGCTTTTTTTTTTCCAACGCCGGAATATATATATTCATTTTTAACGCACGAAGTGCTCAAGACCTCAAGAGGATGTAAGTAAAACGAAAAAGTTTTTATTTTTTTTAGATTTTTCAGCACTTTTTTGGGACGTTTCGGAACGCCTACTTTTTACGGTCTGTTCTTTTTGCTGCCGCTATTTATATATTTTTTGTTACTTGTAATGAAATAGGTAGATAGTCCTCACTAATTACATAGTGCTATTTCTCGTAAAAAATTGGTCGAAAAATCCTAATTAACTATTTTTTTCTATATGCATAATGATATCAAGTAATCCAATCAGCGCCGTCCATTAACGGCGGAGCTCAATAATTTTTATATTAGTCTAAAGTATATAATTACTGTTTTATTAAGCATAAGCATTATAAAAAAAAATTATTTAGGACTCTAACAGCACATGTAGATTCTGAGAATGTTCGGAAGATATCGTAAAAGTATATAAAATTATATTTAGCAAAGTTCTCAGTATATATTAAATATAAAATACAGATTATTCGATTGATATTACGTGCTGTTAGACTTTTCGGCTCAATTTTTAAAGAAGAATAGCGCTATAATTAGCTGACACTATTCAAGAAGCACCCTGCATATCGAACAAAGTGAAAAAAGTACAAAAAGTTCAACTATCCTTCAGTTATTTCTTAATCCACCAGGACCGCAGGAGTGAAGTAGGAGAAGTGAAGTCACTAGGCTGGGTTTCTAACCTAATTTACGTTTTTGCGCGTAAATTCAGCCTTCGTTTACGTCCCTCGGAGATTGTCATTCAATTTCTAATTATGTGGAACGAAAGCTCCGTGGGCCTTGGAGGTGGAGGATTTTTGGATGATAGCACGCAGGGTGATACCAGCAAAAAAGGGCCGCAAAGTAATGAAAAGACCATCGTTCCCGTATTGATAAAGCATATCACGTCCACCACGGGAGATCTGCAACTCGCTGGCAGAAACGTAAATATTGTGTCGATCGTCGGAATCCTAATCAATATCGAACAGGACACGACGAAAATCTCGTTCACCGTCCAGGATGACACAGGTATTTTGTTTGTGTTGTCTTGATCTTGATAACAATCGCTTACAATTATAGAACGCAATATCGCAAAAATTTTTGACATTAATATTTTATATTTTTAATAAATTCATTTGTATATGATAAAAATGCCTGTTTTATGTTAGATTCTTGTTTTTATATATTTAATGCACATTTTCTCTCTCTCTATTGTAGTTTTGTACATATATGTATATATTTTAGTATATTGTATAAATTAAACTCCATGTGTAAGTTTTACATAATTAAGAAAAATCTTAAAAACATAATTTGTATACTATTAAAAAATTTCAATTTATCTTCATCGTTAGAAAGAGCAAAAGATTTATTTGGATTTGGTTTTGTGCGATAGGTACTATTACAGCTGTCAAGTGGATAGAAGCAGATAAGAATCCTGCAGAAATTAACTGTTCTATGGAGGTCAATACATATGTACGAGTTTATGGACTGATACGTACACAAAATAATCAACGACACTTATTGATCCTACGTATGCTTCCTCTGGAGGACTTGAACGAACTGACATGCCACTTTATGGAGGTCATGTATGTCATATTGAGGGCTAAAAAACCTGCGGAAGAGAGAGAATCTATTGTACCTACTAATAATTCGTTAACTGATAATACCATGAGTGGTATGTCACGTGAGCAAATTGCGGTTCTTGAGGTTGTTCGATCAGCTAATGAAGCTGAATGCGGTATTGAGAAACGAGATATTTTGGTAAAAGTACCTAAACATATTATACCTCGTGTAGACGAGATATTGGAATTTCTTCTCTGCGAAGGGCACATTTACACAACCAGTTCAGAGGATTTCTTTAAAGCTACCTAAGTCGTGTGTTACCCTTAAAAAGTTCTATAAGATTAAATTTATCTGATAGCTACACAATACATATTTATGTTAAATATAATGCATTTTCAATTGTATATCATGTTACATTTGTTGTAATTTTTTTTTCTACGGATAAATGTGTTTGCTATTAAAAAAAAAAGTAATTTTTTCTGTGGCATTAAATTATCATTCAACAATTATTGATATAAATAATCGTTATGTTTCGAATACGTCATTGTATCATCGTTAAGCTCAAAGTATTTTAATAATAAAATACTTAAAATAAAGAATATTTTGTAAAAAAATCTGGTTTTTTTAAATTATGAACATTACGATGCGCATACTACATACTACGTTCCACAATTGTCACTACTCTTTTTTTTTTTCTTTAGTGAATATTTATCTTTGGTTGGGGACTGGTACCCAACTTTTCGAAACTTTCAATTCCTTAACTCTTAATCAAGCTTTTATTATAAATGAGATCTTCCCATATTATTTATACTATACTTCCTATACCCGTCGCCACAGTCGATATGGCCAGTATCAAAAGGTCACAAAAATATCAATGTCAAATGATGCAACGTTAATCAAGATACTCTTTTTTGGTATGGATTTCGATCGAAATTGTTTAGTTTTTTCCTAGCTTTTTTTTTCTTTTATATATATATAGTATATATATATGATATATATATGATGTGTGTGTGTGTGTGTGTGTGTGCGTGCGTGCGTGCGTGCGTGCGTGTGTTTCTGTGCGAATTTCAAAAAAATGTCAAAAATTTTTTAAATAATTTAACTCTTTATTGTTATCCAATACAAAGATTTTTGTCCTACTTCCTAATAGAGAAGAAATTTTCCTGCGACATTGAGTATGTTCTGAAGAAGCGTTGAACGCGTTCGTTAAAAAAGCGTTCAACTGAACTGCAGATCAACCTCTTTATTGCGATTGTATATCGCGAAGCGCGCGCGAGACTGCCATCTTGCCTAACCTCACTATCCACGTCCATTGTTTGAAACTTTAAACATCGTTTTTTTAACATGCAGTATTGTTCTATTTGATATTTCTGCAAAAGTCGAAAAAAAGGAAACGTCCGAGTCGAGATATTGCAAAATTGAACTTTCATCTACGGCCGGCGTTAAGTTCTTCGCCAAGATTTTTATGTGTGCGCCTCATAATTTGCTACTATGAATGACGCGGACGATGTTATGACAAGCATATACGACACCTTGTTAAATTTACGATATCCACACATTACTAACGTGGAATCGAGGGACCTGGAGGCGACGATTCTCAGTGGCGAAAATCGGATTTCATTACTTTCCTGGCTTCTGACGCTTCTGACGGAGAAGTCATCGTCGATTGTCGTTCATTTGGGAGAGCTGAGGAATGCTGCTTTGGAAGGTATTTCTATTTTGTCGGTTGTTCAATTTGCTGTTTTATATACATATATTCGACAGCTAAACTGGAAATTATATTTTCAATTGTTATTCTGCAATGAATTTATATTTACAGCGAAAAGAATATTTTAAAATGTAGTAACGCATTAAAAAGTATACACATGTCTTTTTAGATCAATTATTCGAATATTACTCGCAGATTGGAATCTGCGACAACAAGGATGTATTACTGGTTTGTTTATAAAATATTTTATTCGATTATGCTGCATATCATGATAATTACGTTGACATTTTATACCAATATATAATATTTTATGTTAGGGTAAATGTTCCTTGAAAGAGCAACTGCCAACTTTAAGATTATTGCTGGATTTTATGAGAAAGGTATACATGGAACCTTTTGCAAGTACAAATGAGACAGAAGGGACACCTACGGATATTATTAAGGTACGTTGAGGTATGATAATATGGAATAAATATATTATTTTTGTATAAATGAATATATTAATTACAAAAATTTATGTTGTAAACATATTTTAGCTGTGCATCGATGATGCTGACCAGGCTTCCTCTCTTCCCGTCGTTAAACCACAAATAAGTTATGTAGAAGCTATTAAATATTTTGAAGAAAGTGAGAAAGAGATGTTAAATAATGATTGTGGAGAAATTAGACCTAACTTACTTGAAGACTTACACGCAGAGGTACAACAGTGTTATATTAATAAAAATTATAAACAAGATATAATATACAAATTACTGATATTTTATGTAAAAATTAATATAGACTGATGATAGACTGGTTAACGAAGAACAGGACGCGCTATTTGACAAAGAGAAAGAAAAGTTTATGGAAGCGTTTCACACGATTTCATCTTGGCCAGTGAAAGTTAAGAGTTTAGATAAAGATATCTCTGATTCTATTTGTTCGAACATTAAAAGTATATGCTCGGATTTTTCCTCTTTGAAAAAGGTAAGATTTTTATCCACCAGTTGTATTTCTTGCAAAATTTTCACGAATGTCAAAATGCGCCTCCATTTATACTTGTAGGTACTGCAAGCAAAAGAAGAGATATCTAACGTGAAATTAGCGAAGGGATTACCGAAGACTGCCGCACCTTTAAACGCAATTATAGAAAATATAGTCATTTATAATGAGGAACTCAGGAATCTAATAAGCAACATTGAATAATTTCGTATTTATACTCGTGTATGTAGCCCCATAATTGTTTAGTGTAATTTATGACGCTCTAACCGTTTGTGTAATATACAAAAGAACAGAATTGCCTATTTATATATATATATAATTGTACTACAAACTCTGTTAGCAGAGGGAGATGCTTTGATACCAAGATAAAAATAAAATAATTATATAGGTTTTTAACTTATGTGTTTATATTTGTCTGTTGACATACATCTCTGGAAGTTTATAATCTAAGATCTAGGTCGCTCCTTCTTCTCTTTGTAAAGAGCAAGCAGAGAAACGTTTGCGACTTTCACCACCTTAAATCGTACTCCAGGAATATCACCGACGGCATGGCCTTTACGACCGAAACCCGCCACTAGAACTTCATCGTTCTCCTCGATGTTGTTAAGACAACCGTCCCTCGGCACGAAAGCTGTAATCTTCTTTCCGTTCTTAATCAGCTGTACCCTGACGCACTTACGAATGGCAGAATTTGGCTGTTTGGCCTCTACACCGCTATTGAACGATGAGACACCAATAAGTTAATGTGACAAACTGGACACAAGCGTTAAAGATCATCATATGGATGTTATTGCTTACACTTTTTCCAAGACGATGCCTTTAGCATGAGAAGCACCGCCGAAGGGATTGGCCTTCCATCTAGTTCCCAAATGTGCCTTTTTGTAGTCTTTATCATTCCATCGCTGCTCACGTCTGTGATTCACGTGCTTGCGCGCGGTGCGAAGACCTCTGGGTTTACCTGTAACATAAAGAAAGTGAATAACTAGGTTATATTTTGTACTATATTTTCTCGAGCGCAAAAATAAACTCCTTGGTACAGAAAAATATTAAAAATATCTACGCGTTCGCGAATACAAGATATAGTTATTGTGTTAATACCAAATACTATTTACATTGGCATGGTCTGACAATTATTGCTACACGTTGTTCTCGGCACCTCGAAGCACGCTGCGCGTCAAGGGAAAAAATATAATTTGTACATTCGTAAGTGCTCGCAGCGTAGAAAATGTTGAACAAATTATGTCGACAGAATTTCTGTCAAAATATTTACGCTTTTTATAATCACTACTCGTTAATAATATTTAATTCAAATAATATTAGGGAAGCTTGCAACATACCCATCGTTCCTCACGCGATTTACAACCGGAAAGAGTCAATCGTCCATGAGCTGAAATGCAAATCGTAATGGCTCCTGCACATAGAAAGCGGAAATGTTAACCGCAAGGCAAGAAGCGACGTTATAGCATAGCCAATCAACGGCCGATATTCGTAGAGGCCTATTAAGGAGGATTCACACTGCTTCGACATTTTAAGGGCCAATTTCACCAACCACAGTTAGCTTAAAGCTATATCCACACAAACTTGCATAGGTGCATAACCATATGCATAATGAAACGGATTGGTCTATTTCCTTATGCACATGCATATGGACCAATTAATTCTCTTATGCTTATGTTTATGCGCTATGCAAGTTTGTCTGGATTGACCTTAAAGGTAAAATTTCATGAGCAGTGAAAAGCAGCAGCAGATTGTACTGATTGGCTACAAAATAGAGAAGTTGTAGAAACTCGAGAACTTCTCTATTTTGCAGCCAATCAGTACGATCTGCTGCTGCTTTTCACTGCTCATGAAATTTCACCTTAAGGCCCGGTGTCCACGATGCAAGAACTGTGTCCAAGTTTCGGTTTAAGCCAATGAAACGGCTACTTTTCTGTAAGAGCTGCAAGTTGATTGGCTTAAATCGAAACTTGGACACAGTTCTTGCATCGTGGACACCGGGCTTAACCGATGGTTAAAGTTAACAGAATTGACTAATAGTAATAAATTCACCCTGCTTTCTATTGGTCAATCCTGCTAACTTTAACCGTCGATTAAGCTAACTGTGGTTGGTGAAATTGGCCTTAAAGGTGAAATTTCATGGGCAGTGAAAAGCAGCAGCAGATCGTACTGATTGGCTACAAAATAGAGAAGTTCTAAAAACTCGAGAACTTCTCTATTTTGCAGCCAATCAGTACGATCTGCTGCTGTTTTTCACTGCCCATGAAATTTCACCTTAAGGGTGCGGTCTCACATGGACTGATATTTTCCGCGTAACGCTTATCGCGTAACCGATCAGAAGCGCGAATATGCGTAACCGAAAATGCGAAACGCTCTCTCTCTTCTAATTGGTTACGCGGTTACACGTTACGCAGAAAATACATGCCATGTGACTCCAGCCTAACTTTTCTTCAGTCCGAGAACCGTGGACACAAGGTGGGTTTTCATGGTTAGTTCCTAGAAGTTAATTTCCTAGAAATTACTAAACTGCTGCTCGCTGCTACAGTATTTCACTGCCCATAAAAACCCACCATTTAGGCCGGTATTCATAGTCAATTTTTATATTTAAAACCGTCTTAAGTACAATCTTAAGATGTCGTGAACCAATCACAGACCCGTATTAGCATCTTAAGACATTACTTAAGCCGGTCTTAAAATAAGAACCGACTATGAATACCGGCCTAAGGGTCACTTCGATCAAGCTTTGATTAATTTAATCATTAATTAGTCTACTGAAAATGACCAATCGCATTTGTCAATCTGCTTAATGAGCAAATACGATTGGTCATTTCCAATGGACTAATCAACGATTAAGTTAATCGGAGTTTGGTCAAAATGGCCCTTAATGTAGAGTGCGCTGTCGACAGCATGCATAGAAAGCACGCATGCGCAATAGACTGTTGCGCAATTGACATTATACCGATACTAGCGTACTCTATGATAAATTCTCTCTTTTTTTTGTTTGGATTAAGGCTAGTTCAGACAACCTTACGTAGTCATAAAATATATCAAAACGTTGACCAATCATACATCTGACATGGAAGACGCCATATTGCTTTTTTTTCTAAAGTGAAACGTCATCGTATATGCAAAACCGTTTGAATAACCCTTTAAACACTTTTGCGTTTTTTCTTTTGTGACCGTTATATATAGTAATGCTTCCAATAATTCCCTTCTATATAGGTACCATACCTGAGAATGAAATTTTCCTAATAGCTGACCAATAACATTGCATATACAAACATTAACAACATTCCAATCTTCGTATTTCGGATATTGTGGAACTTTTTGGGTTGGATCCCCATCAAAATTTAGTTATTTTTTAGATTTCTATTGTGTCTTCTAGGGAAAACAGTTAACAGATTAATTTCGATCGGAATCCATTCCATTCCGATTAGTCCGTTGACATAGCGTTAACTCATCACCGACATGTGAACTTGCATACTTGTTTCCGTACTGCTCAACGAATCGTCCACGAGACCAGCGAGATAATTAAAACCCAGGCAAGTAAAAACTGCCTTTCTGCTTTTGGAAATAAAGTTCTCGGCGCGCCTATGGTTTCCTTAAAGTTACTGTTTCCAAGAGGCCAAAAATTGATATTTGCGCACAGGCTTCTTTTTCGAACATTTTGCGAATTATGCACAATCGCGAAAAGTACTAAAACATCAAATGTCTTCTCGATTAGATGAAGATGTTTGACAGGATGTCGTTGCACAGATTGTGGATACGGTTACCCATCAAAGTCACAGCGTTTTTCGAAATCGGTAAAAGTTTTATGTTATCAATATGTTTAACAGGAGGTCACATAGGATAATTCGAGAGGCGTTAAGCTACAAGTGTAGACTTGTTTGGTGGCACTTATTTGCTGTTTCGAATGTAACAATGGAAATGGAGGTCATTTGTATCTCGTCTGATGATGAATCTGACTCCCAAAAGGTTTGGAAATGCTTTGATAAATTTAGATGTCTGTTCAAATCCCTTTAAAATCAATTTTTGGAAAATGACAGCTTGCTTTGTTAAAAAGGAAAATAATAACAATAATAATAATAAATGAGGAATTATGGGATAATAACATTATTTTTAAAATCCAAATACTGATTTATAAATTTATTGTTGCAGGAAAATAAGGATAAATTACCGACCAAATCTATAGAAACTGGTATTGGAGCCTGTGCTCATGGAAAAACGGAGACTTTATTCATCGATATTGACAAAATTGAAGAGAATAATCTGAAACGAAAGAAATTACAGACAGATACAAATGTGATAATACAGACGGATTTTATAATGGAAAAAAGAAGAAGGTTAAATCTTGATCAGGGTACATCTAAGGTGATAAACAAGTCTGTACCTAGCCAATGCTCTATAAATGTACCTGAGATACAGTTTGTGAAATCTGATTGTAATGCAAAACTAAATAAGAACCTGCCAGACCGGGAAGTGAAAACTGAAAAGATACAATTGATCGTGAAGGAGAAGAAAAAAATATCGTACGTTTCGCAGGACGTTTTTCCACTGTTTATAAGCTTATGTCTGCAAAAATGTCCAAAGGGCGATAAAAGGGATATGGATAAGATTGTTGATAAGTTAAAAAGACGTTATGAAAATTTGGATCCAATTTACGCTGCGTCAGAAAATTTTGTCACATTTTTAAATGAAAAGCGTGAAGCTATTACAAGTAATAGCAGAAAAATATACGTGCATATAGAAGAAGTGATGAACGAGATGAGGAAAAAGAAGTCCCAGGCATTGCAAAATAATGAAATCTATGATGCAGTTCCTTCCACTTCCTATGCTACAAATAATGTACCAGTTAATATTGAAGTAGAATCGGATGACGAAGATGATGCTGATAATGAAGAGAATGCAAACTCCAAGACAAGAAGAAGGATCAAAGAAGTAACGAAGGCTATGGAAAAATGTGAGAGAAGGATAAAAAAATTGGAAGAGGAGGAAGTTGATTTTAATGAGGAGAATGATAGTAATTATATGAAAGTCGTAAGGTATAAGGAGAAAATGGTGGAATTATATGATAAACTTTGTGAATTAACGGGAGAAAATGCTGATGCGGGGCGCGTATATTTGCGTCCTAAACATTTTAACGTAACTCGAATTGTTGCTGTGGATCAAGCAATAACGAATTTTATCAACTCTAAAATTACTCGACGAAATCAAATGAAAAGAACGGGAGCGCTTATAGATGATTTAATATTCCCTGATCACAGGGACATTTTGGAATGTGTTAATCGGTGTAATGAGAGAAAAAAATTAGGTCTAGACGAAAATAAACGAGAAAAAATAGGTAAGATACGTATTATAATTTTAGTTTATTTATGAATATATTTAATTGTGCAATATATTTTGCTGTGCGTTTGATTATTATATCTATGTTATATATTGTTGACACATGTAGCACGGAAAGCTTTCGAAGAACTTGGAGAACACTTGCAACGCAGTAGGCGCAAAGATTATTGGGACACATTTTCTTTATATCTTGAAGACACCGAAGAAGACCCAGCTATAAAAGATGAAAATTTAGCGAAAAAACTAACTGATAATCGTACTGAGGGAGAAAAACGATTAGCTGCCGTATTCGAAGAATATGTAAAGAAACAGTTTGAAATGAAAGACGAAAATAATGAAGAAGCACCTTTGGAAGAGGAGGATGAGGATGAAGAAATGGAAGAAGAAAGTATTATAGATGATGAAGATAAAAACGATGAAAACTCATCTATGACAAGTGAGAATGATAGTGATAATGAAGAAGACATAGATAAAACCGTTAAAGAAAATAGATCACCTACGGAAAAAAATAAATCTAATTTAAGTGTATATCATGCTGTGGATAAAGCTATTTCGAATAAAACTATGGCGGATACCCTACAACAGAAATGTAACAAATTACTTAAAATAAAAATTTTGAAAAATAATGATGCAGCAGTATCAAAGAATGAGAATAAAACAATTAACGAGAAGACAATACACGAGCCGTATAGTAGCAGTACTATCCTAAAGGATGTTGTAAAGGAAATGACGCAAGAGGACTCACCAGCGGGTTTGACAACAAAATGCACAAGTGGTATACATATTAATAAAATTGAAAATATATAAAATATATAAAATATATAAAATATATAAAATTAAACACATAAATAGAAAAGTCATATATATTTATTTATATGATTATATGTATTTTATACGTATGTTGTAGAAGATCTAGCAGAGGTGGAAGCAATTGAAGTATCCGAAGTGATAACAGGTCCTGCAACAAAGAAGGTAACAAAGGATGTGACAGATACAATAACCGCAGTTACAACAGAACTGATAATAGGAAATGCAGCCGATCTGATAACAGGGGATGCTGCAGAGCTGATGACAGAGGATGCTGCAGAACTAATAACAGAAGATGTAACAGAGGAGATAACGGAAAACACAACAGAAATAATAACGGATGAAACAGAGATAATAACAGAAAGTGTGATGGATGAACCAATCGAGAATATACCAAACGATGAGCAACCTGAAGAGGAAAAGAAGCCTGTATTGCGATTACGTTCATTCGCTAAACCTCCCACGACTTGGGAGGACAATCGGCACAAAATGGATAAGACCACTCAAGAAAATGCGCCAAAGATAACAAACCAGAATAAAGAAATAGTTGATTTGACTAATGAAGGAACAGCCAAGCCATTGCCTGTTGTTGCTAAGCGCACTATGCTAGCGGTTGGAAATAAAATAATTCCCAAGATAATTCCCGTAATGAAACGTCCGACACTGGTTAGGCGTATGCCGATAAATAGGAATATAATCAGCGTCCAAAATATTACAAATAATTACTTGAAGGTGAATATGCGAACGGGAGAAATAGAACCTGTCCGCGACGTCCGTGGATCTACGATAATCCAATTGCCTCTTCAAAGTACCAGTCGACAAAGTCAACAAAACGCGAATGCTGGAAACGAGACGATAGTAATTAATCGAATTGTACCTAGCAAGATTATAAGCATAAAGAAATCGACAGTGCAATCTGTCTCTAAGGAAACTGATGTGAGTTCATCGACGACCAAATCCAAATGACTCAAACATATAGCAAGGGCTGTCCTTTTAGATCATTGTTATGGAAAAAGCAACATTGATCTGATCAATTTGGCAAGATGATTAATCTTGATGTTATATGAAGTATATTCAATGTCTTTACAAAACATTTCTAATTTAAAAGCCAAATATATAAAGAGACACGTTAATATAATTAATATAATAATCCTTAATAATAATAAATCTTTTTTAATTAATCTAAATTGTATTTTATGATGAATATATAGTGCCTTAGGACAAATAATATTCCTTTAACTTTCCACATATTCATCTAATGAATGTTCGCATCCGGCTGAAGACACTTCAATATCAATTTAGCGAGATCATAGTCCGAATTCAGAAGTTCCTCCACTATGTTAAAATGGTCTATGTCTTCAAGTAAAATATATTCCACATTATCCACAATGGGAATAATTTTCTGAAACAATAATACAATTTTAGTTCGATACAAGTTTGCGCAATAACATTCAATACGTAATAGGTTTGTTTTTTATTGCTGCAGTAGGCTGCACTGAAACTTTTCGTTTTTGTCAAATTTCATATATGTACCAATTTTATTTTAGAGAGTGTACACTAGTTCAGCTATAAAAAACAGATCTAATATTTAATTAACTACCTGGGCGTATTTGCGCGATTCATCCACAAATGTTGGAGAATCACAGTCACCTACGATTACGACAACTTTCAAGCCACTGATACGACGGCCTTTCGTTTCATCTAAAGTGGAAACACTAAATGCCTTAATTTCTTCCCTGAAAGCAATAATATATGTATACTTGTTATAAGCTTCATACATAATTCTACATATATATAATATAATTCTATTGAATTCTGTTGAAGAGAGATAAAATGCTTACTCGGTCAGTTTAAGGGCTGTCCCATGACTGGTATCAACTACAGGTTTTAAATTATAAAGGCCGCTTATCAGTATGATTTCCTTTAATAATGCAAAATATCCTTGCTGTTTCATGCGATTAATCCAATCGTCGTCGTGCAATAGACATGCAGCCAAATGCGCTCCGGCACTATGGCCAGCGATGCATACATATCTGTACATTATTGTGTGTTTGTACATATAAACATAATTTTTTTTTTTTTTTTTTTTTTTTTAGTTTTGTACCTAGTATACGAGTGTAGAAGAGTTTTGTATTAAATAACATACTTAGATTCTGAATCAGCCGCATATTTTAATATTTGCGTGACCGCTGCTTTTATCTCCGCTACTATATCTCCAATTCTAACTGAAGTACAAGAAAACAATACAATTCATTACACCATATATAAAATTTATTATACCAATAAGATAATCTTTTAATTTGAGAGTTTCTAATATAGTGATAAATTGTAAAATTCCGAAACGTTTTCATAAATTTTTGCGTCCAATTCCTTCCAACTATGACGCGCTTAAATGATTTTATTGCAATTTTAAATTGTAAATGTGTTGTAAAGTAAACTGATAAATAATCAAGAGTAAGGAAGACAGCGGTATAATTCAATAGAATTTTATACCATCTCACCATTCGGACACAAATCGTATCCAACTGTTATTACTTTGATTTTATTTTTAACAAACAAGGGTACCGAGAACCCAGCGACATCCTTGCTAAATTCCTGCCAATATCCTCCATGGATAAACACAAATATCGGCGCATCTGAAATATATAACTGTTTTAAAATGATGGGTAAGAAAAAAATACCATCGCTAGGAAGTATAATGCAATCTAACAGTTTGCAGATCTTTAAAAAAAAAAAAACGAGCAGATTTAGAGGATAGAATATGAAGTGGAAATACTAATATGTATTCCAAAAATGTTTCCTTGATGTTCATACACTGAGAAAAAAAATTTAGATCCATAAATATTTATTTAGGTGGCTGCCAATAGCTTATTTATTTAATATAATACGTATATTTATTTAGTATTAGATATTTTTATTTAAATTAAGTAAAAATATTTAATTCTAAATAAATATGTGTATTATATTAAATAAAAAACTATTGGCAGCCACACACACATATACCTAAATAAATATTTTTTTGGATTTAAATATTTTTTTCTCAGTGTATATTTTATCGCGTAAAAGAGTCACGGTCGGTCTCGCTCCGCGTGTACTTGGCACGAGACACTATACCGTGTCTCTTGATTTCAATTTTAAACGAATTGTACAAGAAAATTGCTGTTTTATGCTTATGCGCGTATCGTGTTTGCATATCGAAGAAATAAGTGATTCAGGCTAGACTATAGATATCGTATAATTTGCAAGTAAACGCCTCCGACCTTGGAAATAAATTGAAAATAAATTCTTATCGAAAATAAAAAGGAGAAATCTAGATAAAATAGACCGATTTTCAAGCGTGAATTTTGTAAGTTTATCCCTCTTGTTTCAGTCGCTTCTAATTCTTTTTTATTTTGAAAGAGAAACACGATTATAAAAATATAGAGATAAATGGAACAGAAAATGGTAGAAATAATTTTTTGCTGAGAATTCGAGATATTGTTCGACAAGTTTGATGCCTATATGGAAATTATCTATCTATGAATCAAGTCATCATTACATTTGTACATACCTTTCGGTAAATCGGTGCCATATATGTCGTACTTTGCGCGCTTCGTAGGGCCGTACGCCACATTAAGTTTACATTTAACAGTTCTCCGAGTCTTGTCCGTAACTACGATAACAATTAATAACAAATACTACGTTTACGCGAGCGTTACTTCTGTAGTAACTTACGATAATAATTCACTCGTTTACGCAGAGTAAATTATCGTTAATTACTATAAAATCCTGTTTACGCGAAGGAAAATCCCGTTTATATATACGCGAAGGAAGTAACGCTCGCGTAAACGTATTAAAAGACCTTGATCAGCGATCACATATCTGACACGCCTTTCTCGCGGCGTGATAATAATCGTAAAATCGGAAAAGTCTTAATAAGACTCGCAAAGATTTATCGCAATTATATGATTCCCGTAGAGAAAGACTCAAACCATCATTTGTCCTACCTTCCGCGCAGAATGTAAAGAATCGCTCTAGCAGCTCCTCAGATTTATATCGTTTGCTCCATTCGCTCGGGGTATACAGTCGCTCGTGTTCCTTAAAGATCAAATGAGATATCAAATCACATTTAATTTTTAAAAACGTCATCACGCGAAAGTTGCGTCGAAATATTACGTACGGACATAGCCATCATTGATCAGCCTGATCAGCCAGTTGACTCTTCAGGGAATGATAAGCAATAAGTTATGACTCACAGTTGTTACTCGCGGTAATGCTCGTTGGATACTGCATGCTACCGTTTTCTTATGATATACGATACGCTGCACTTTCCTGGCTTTGCCTGTCAATGTGTACTATATGAGTGTGTAATATACGAGCGCTACGACTGCAAGGGTTCACGTTAGTTTATTGCGAAGGTGGAAAGTGAAAGTTAATTAAATTCACATACGAAGACATGTTGGTTTCTTCGTGTTATTGCGACGCGGTTATACAGATAATTTTTTTTACAAATTTTATGTAATTCAGGATTTATCCGATTTATCGCGTAGATTGCTCCATTATAGATATATGTATAGTCGCTATAATTATAAATATCTTTCGATAGGACAGATTTTAATATTACAGTTTTAGCTCTGCTATATCCAATATGAGATGAACAAAGTCACAAAGCATCAAACTTCTCGAGAAATTATTGAATTTGCAGCAAAAACATTATTTCAACTCTTTGATCTATTTATTCCACGTCTTTATATTTTCATAATCATGATTTTTTTTAAATATGAGAAAGCGTGGTAAAGAATAAATTTTATATATTTTGTTGTAATATATACGTATGTATGTATGTATGTGTGTATATATGTATGTATATTATGTTTATATATCATAATCATATAATATACATAATATATATATATATATATATATATATATAGTAAAAAAATAAAAAATATAAATACATAAAAAGTAAAAAAAAGCTTTTTTTTAAAATATATTGAGACGTTTATTTATATTATTTTTCAATGTTTATAATACTCTCTTCAGGAGTTGTACATGCTGGAGCGGGTCCAAATCAGCTAAACAAGATTTTCAACTGTATCGATTTGCCAAATCTAGACGACAAATTTTTTAAGAAGCATGAAAAAATAATCAAACCAATTGTTGAACTTGTAACTAAGGAAAACTGTTCAGAAGCAGCAATAGCTGAACGTACGCTCACATTAGAAAATATTACAGAATTGAAAAAGTTATTGTAAGTTTAATGTATATGCTCATTGAAATTATGAGAAAGTAAAACGAGCTTACAGTACAATCACATAATAGTGTTTAACTTCTATACTTGTATACATTATTAATAAACTGAATATTAAATAGGAAAAGTTTATAAATATTTGTGTAATTAATAATTTTTATATATTACATATTTTTTTACTTCTACATATCATACGTCTTTCTTACTAATAAATTTTGTACATAATTTATAAACTATAATACTACGTTTACGCGAGCGTTACTTCTGTAGTAACTTACGATAATTCACTCGTTTACGTGGAGTAAATTATCGTAAGTTACTACAAAATCCCGTTTATGCGAAGGAATTATCGTTACTACAAAAGTAACGCTCGCGTAAACGTGGTATATGACTGATTTATTACACACAAATGGTAAATAATAATGACTCAGCGATTGGTACTTAATATCAACGTCAATACTAAGCAATTCGAAATTATGCTGTAAATAAAATATTTTTCAATATTTCATTATATTGAAAAATATTTCAGTTATAGCATAATTTCGATTTGTTTAATATTGACGTTGATATTATGTACCATCGCTGACTCATTATTTATTGCCATTCTTTAGCCCTGCATGGAGAGAATTTTTTGTTATATTTTACCGTTAAATTTTTGAAATGTACAAAAGACATTTTACAAATAACGTGATAAAAATTACCCAGCAGCTTGGTAATATTTGAAAAATTCTTGAAATTTCCTAGATATATTTTAGTAAAATTAATCATATTTTAATTATTTTTAATGTAATAGATATTAATATTTTTTATTATGATAAATATTAATCAAAATAGCTCGTGATTGGTCTATTTTCTTACAACCATACGATTATGATTAAAACTTTGTTACGTGCAATGGCCTTAAGAATTGAATAAGAATTAAGCCCCGGACACACGAATCGACGGAAGATGTAAGACGTAAATTGTAAGGAAATCCACCAATCAGAGTCGACTATTCCCCTCTTTTTCTCTCTTGAAGAGGGGAATAGTCGACTCTGATTGGTGGATTTCCTTACGATTTACGTTTTACGTCTTTCGTCGATTCGTGTGTGAAGGCCTTTACGAATAAGAATTCTTATTCGTAATTTTTTTCGTAATAAGAATTTAGCCAAAATATCGAATGAATCTTTATTTAATTTAGGATATTTTTGACCAACTCTATCCGTGTTCCGAAACTTCGGAAAAAGGCGTTTCCGGCTTCCTGACGCGTTGCGTTCCAAAACCCATTGAAAAAAGCTACAATGGTGAACGGTGAAGTAGGAGTATTGTGAAATAATTCGCGAGTGGTAACGTGAAAAACACGTTTTATTAAATCTTTTTTTTATATTTACGATCTAAAATCTGTAATCAAACGTCACGCTGATTGTTTTGTCATCTTCCGCGAGCTACAATTCACCGAAAATGGGAACGCATTCGAACGCAACGAGCGACATCCCAATGAGTTAGGTTAAAAATCGCGTTAGCTACTCGCGTGAATATGTCCACGCCGGATATGTCAGATATGGATATCGATAATCAAAGTGAAGACGGAGAAATTAAGAAGAGTCCATCGAAGGATATGGCTGAATACAGGTATTGTTTATCGCTATATCGTCTTTCTCTTAAATATTGTCGCAATTTGATTAAGATTAGGTCTAAAAGACGGGGCGGGCCACGAGCCAAGAACGATCACTGGATTACGCCTACAACGCGTACTTTTGATCCCCGCGTTAATCCCAGTTAATCCGTTGCTCCTCGTCGTCCGAGCCCACGCGAGAGTCGTCTAGGTTAGCCTAAAATGATATTTGAAGGCGCATGTGCGCGCTTGCGCGACAAATTTTTGTCTTTTTGCATTTGGGGTTTGTTGGTACTGCGTACTGCTTGATAGCACCGTGGCGGTGTGGCGGTGTTCGATACGCTCGCGAATGGCGGACTTTGCGTCCAAAGGTTTTTCCATTAATCTCTTTGACACCAATTGACAATTTGACACTCAGCATTCGGCAAGTCAGTCCCTTTTTGCGAATAAGTGAAAACATATCGCACGAAGCATAATGACGAGCAATGCTGCCCAGAATTTTTAGGTATTCGAAATCGCCACGAGGCAACGCACGTTTGTACGCAGCACTTCGATTCCTCGAGTTATTTTCCTTTTTATTTATTTCTAAGTACATAGGAATACCATCCTTACTCCGGTCCTGTGGCACATATATTTGTTTTATTTGTTAAAAAAATTATAACGTTAATTAGCGCATCACTTCTTAATTTTAATTCTGAATGTATTCATAAATATTCGTAAACTACTGAAACAAAAAGTGATAGTTATTGGTGGTACAAATATTTATGAGTTTATATCTCAAACATTTGCTTCACGAATTTCACGAAAGAATTAGTAATGTCATTGATTCAACATAATTACCTATTTCAGCTTTTCAGAGGAAGAGGGTGGCGACACGGCCGACTCCTTGGATATCAAACCACCGCAGGCAGTTGTTCGCCATCATAAGTCTAGCTCGTCCCATCGAAGGGAGAAGCACAGCGACAGGAGAAATCGTAGAGATGAGAAAGAGCGGAAGTCGCGTCAGCACGAACGCGAAGACAGACATAGGGACAAGCACAGGCATCGTAGACATGTGGGAGAGCCTCTTGAAAGACCCGAGCGTTTGGAAAGCTCCAAGAGGAATCGTGAGAGAATGGAGCGACTAGACAGGATGGAGAGCCATTCTAGAGACAGAGAATCTTCCAGGCACGATCGCAAGGAAAGAAGTACAGGAGACCGCGTCCTAGAAGATTTGAGGGAAAGGTATGTCGTATTTCGTTATACCTTGAAATTTTTTGCTGTCTGTCTATCTGACAAAATATAGAAATATTAATATTATTTGTATTTATTGTTTCTTTTAAAAATCTAATTACATGAAAATATTTATGTTCTAGATTGTTGGACAAGAGAAGGGAGAGACGGGAGGATCCGCGTGATACTCGTAATTATAAAATTGAGTCGTCTCGACACGAGGTGCGATTGGAGGATCTGCGAGAAATACGCGAGTCGCGCGATCGGCGAGAAGTACGTATGGACGACCTGCGGGAACGTCGTGAAATGCGTACCGTGGACGACGGTAGAGAACGTCGCGAGATTCGCATGGAGGATCAGAGGCACGTACGCGTGATCATGGACGAGCAGTTCTCGGAGAGCGAGCTGATGGAACGATCCGAGAAACGTCGCAAGAGATCTCACAAGCACGATAGAGCTCGCGAGAGAGACCAAGAGAAGATGGAGCGCGAGAAGGAGCACAGGGACAAACAGCTGCGGGAAGCGATGGAGATCGTAACCGATGATATTAACGAGATGGATGTGCAAAATGACATCTCTATGCAGATTAAAGATCCAAAGGAGATGACGGAACAGGAACTTAGGAAAGAAAGGCTGTTGGAAGCCGACAGAGAAATGGCCAGGCGCAAAGAGGTATCTAGAATGGAGTTGGAAGCGAGAAGAATGAAGAGAGGCGAGAAACGGCCCATGAGTCCGGATAACAATCCAGATCCTTCGATTGTAGAACTGTCGGATGAAAGCGTCAGTCCTGCTCGTTCCGAGGGCGCGCGATCGAAATCAGCCGAGTCTAGACACTCGTCCGAAGGTGAGAGAAGTCCGCACGAGAGGTCCTCGGAGCGACATTCGTCCGACTCTTCGGAATCGAGCAGCGACGACGACGATGAATCTAACGAATCGAATAAAGGTTCTGGGGGCGATTCCAATGATGGCTCAGAATACAACAATCCAAGTCCATTGTCCGTCGATCGATTAGCCAAATCCGATCATTCAGATGGAGACTCTCCGGGACATGTCGAGTCCAACAATGCTCCGAAAAACATAGAAGAGGAGGAAAAGAAAGAGGAGGAACCAGAGTTACCGCCATATCTGCCGGCTATTCAAGGTACAGCAAGAAATGCTATACAAATAAATGTAAAAGAAGTTTAAAAATAAAATTGAAGGATTAAAAGCATCCCAAATACACGAGTTAGTCACAGGTTACTCTCAGGTTAGTCTCAGGCTTAAATTTTTATCGTAAATAATCTTCAACTTGATTAATTCAAATTTGCTTTTATTCCTTCAATCTAATGTTTTTCTTTTATTTTTGCTTTTATTTTATCATTAATTTTTAGACGCTCTATGATTCATTATTTTTTGTTTATATGTACATATATTGTAAATTTTCTGCTCTTTAGGTTGTAGAAGCGTCGAAGAATTTCAATGTCTAAATCGAATCGAAGAAGGTACATATGGAGTCGTGTACAGAGCACGCGACAAACGTACAGATGAGATAGTCGCGTTAAAACGACTGAAAATGGAAAAGGAGAAGGAAGGCTTTCCGATTACGAGTCTGAGGGAGATCAATACATTATTGAAAGCGCAGCATCCCAATATTGTTACCGTGCGTGAGATAGTCGTCGGCAGTAACATGGATAAGATATTTATTGTCATGGATTACGTAGAGCACGATCTGAAATCCCTAATAGAAACCATGAAACAGAAGAAACAAGTTTTTATACCCGGTGAGTGTATTGTATTACACAATGTAGAAAACTGATCGAAGAGTTGGGCGTAATAGTGTAATAACAGCACACAAGTCAAAAAATAAAAAAAATAAAAACAATTTTAATAGATACAATTTAAAAATAACAATTATATACAAGTAATCTAAGATGTCATTAAGGGTTAAATATAAAATAATTGTATTGTTTTATGGATCACATATATTGAACTTTACGCTGCTGTTGCACCCAATTTCTAAATTTATAACAGAATATGCGAATGTAAGGAAAAATTAGTATTTCTTTCTATTGTAGGAGAAGTTAAATGTCTTATGCAACAATTGTTACGCGCGGTCGCGCATCTGCATGATAATTGGATATTGCATCGCGATCTAAAGACGTCCAATTTGCTGTTAAGTCACAGGGGCATTTTGAAAGTCGGCGATTTTGGCTTAGCTCGTGAATATGGTTCTCCCTTGAGGCAATACACGCCTATCGTCGTAACGCTTTGGTATAGAGCTCCTGAATTATTGCTGTGTGACAAAGAATATGCAGGAATATATAGTACACCAATAGACATGTGGTCCGTAGGGTAAGTGTGATTTTTTCAGTATCATTTAATATAATTGTTTCTATATCAATGGAATCTAGCTCGTAAAACAATAATAATAAATTATACTGGGCTAAAAACAAACAACCGTTGCTCGTTTTTGGCCTAGTATCATTTATTATTATGATTGTTTTTAATCGGCGATATTAACTTGACTATGGCTGATTTGATTATGGATTATAGTATTAAATATAAATATAATTTTAGCATGTATATTAATATATATAAATATATAGACTATATACGATATTTATGATCCTTTCTTAGGTGCATTTTCGCTGAGCTTTTAAGAATGGAACCATTGTTCCCAGGAAAGTCGGATATAGATCAATTGAATAAAATATTTAAGGAGCTGGGTACACCGAGCGAAAGAATCTGGCCAGGATATGCTAAATTACCCATAGTACAAAAGATTCCATTCGCGCATTACCCTGTAAATAATCTCAGACAAAGATTTAGTTTATCGTTGTCCGATTTAGGTATCGAGTTGCTGAACAAGTAAGTTATTCCACATATAGAGAGCGATACATGCAAGTGTCTAATATTTAAATAAGTTTTGTTACAAGCGTGATTGTTCCGTTTTCAGATTTCTAACGTATGATCCTCGCCAACGTGTAACCGCCGAAGACGCCAGTAATCATGGCTATTTTACTGAAGCGCCTTTGCCAATCGATCCGCAAATGTTTCCCACGTGGCCCGCCAAATCGGAGCAAGGAATTAGAACTACAAACGCGTCCCCGAAACCACCGAGCGGCGGCAGAGAATATAAGCAATTGGGCGACGGTGACGACGCTGATTTGAGCAACTCCGGTTTCCACATGGGCATGATGGAGGGTGGCAGGGCGCCGCCGGTTGGGGGTGGCTTTCACTTGAAATTCTAATTGAAAAAATTTTATACTTTGAATTATATCAAAGAATTTTTATCCGAATAGATTTATACAAAATATACTACGTTTCTTTATATATGTATGTATGAAGAAATATATAATCCGCATTATATGTACGTATTCTACTTCTGTTATAAAAGAACAAAGAACATGAAGAATATTCATATATATATATATATATATATATATATATATATATATATATATATATATAAAATTGAATTACAGTGTCTCGGTTTTATAAAATGGAGATGTTTGCGATTGCTCTTGTCGCATATGATTTAATAGTATAAAATAATATATCTATATTTATGTATCAGTTTCTGGAATGGATTACAATTTAAATCCTTCAAATCCTCCTCTTATCTCCTTTTGAAATTAATCGACCTCTTATAAAATGAAGGCCGAGGTATTAAACCTAAGATCTGCCAACTTGGAGTTGCCTTTCAACTCCGTTAGAATAATACGATAGAATAATACTATCCTAGTATGGAATAATAGAAATATCTGTTATAAAAATCAAAACGACAACATTTACGTGATTAATGTTCGTAATTTATATTAGTCCGCACTTTACAATCATAAATTATAAAGAGAACGTGAGAGCAAAAAAAATAGTACAAGGAATTATGTAATAGAAAGATGTAATAAAATAGAAATATATATGTATGTGAGTTTCTACATTTATTATTTAGTATCGATTCATTTTGTACACGAGGTCCATGTTTCTGGCAACAGCGCTGACATTTTTCATTTGATTTTCTGAATGCTCTGTTCTAATATATATTTGACGGATAAACTATGAGATGCATATTCTTCTATATGTAATGTATCTTTAAATATCTTGTACAACCAAGCAATGTCACTTTCATTTCCCCGCATTGTGCATATTTTTTGGTAGGCCCAACAGGGAGTTTATAAGCTCGGAGTTACGCTTAGGATGAGAGGGACGTGGAGCCACCAGTATCAATCTGGCCAGCTGCAATTCGCTATCCTATGAAAGAAACAAATAATAAAATAAGAAATGTGTGTAACATTTCTTATGTACATAAATATTCGCCTAATGAATCTATTTAATAGTATTCTGTTACAACATCGCTATTTTCTTTTCCAAACTGTGTCGACCGCTTAAGTAGAATTCCGAGTCCGAATTGACGTGTAAATTAATCCTCATCGTATCTCTTCTTGCCGAAGCGTTCGATATAATTTCGAAATATGATAAATATGCGACGTTATTAGCAAAATTTTACGCGTCTCTTAATTGCCACTTAGATTGATGGATATATACACTTACCAATCCTCTACCGTACGGAAGATTCAACCCGAGAATATTTCTGTCGACATCCTCGAGCTCGCTGAACTCCTCTCCGCAAACGACGCCGACGATAACGGCAATAACGACTGCGAGCTTCGCGTAATTAGCCATTGACGAATGCTGCTCCCGTTCTTGAGACAAAGGTAAACACGTGTAGAAAAAGACTTGTCAATTATTAAATTAAACATTGAATATAATAATTGAATATATTAATTTAATAAAATTTAACTCTTAAAAATGCCACACCTCTCAAGAATCTCGTAAATGACATGATGAGGGATCTAAAAGACCCCAGCATGAAAAATGTCTCTTTACTCATTGATTTTTTTATCTTTAATTATGAAAATTTTTTTCAATGTTGTTCAAGGCTTAGAAAAGAGAATAAAATGCTTATATTGTTAAAATTTCAATTTCAACATAGTATAAAAAATTAAGTAAACTGAGTACTGCTAAGTGTACAAACGGGTAGGTCAATCACTCAACTATCATCAATGGGAACACGAGCGCCATTTTTGGCAAGAAACATTTGAAAATATATCATTGTAAAGGGTCTGGGGTCCGCTGGACCCCAGGAGGCATTTAAGGGTTAATATTAATTTAATTTGATAAAATAAATATTAATATTAATAAAAAAAACTTGTATTATACGACAATTTTATTTTAATTAAGTAATTTGAATAAACGTGATAATTACTCGCAATATAGTTGTAAGTCGCCAATTTACAGCAGACTGCGAAGTGGCAGCGAACGCCGTTCAATGTACCGCACGAATACGACGTGGATCCGAAAGCGCTGTTTCTTTTATACCGAGCATCTTACTATCGTCGCGAGATCTGTTCCTGACAGACAGATCGTAAGGGCGTAGGCCGACTCTGCGAACGACAGGTGTCCTCCTCCGACGAAATCATCGTGGAAATTATATGTTTCGTCTCCTTTATTAAGTTATGTAAAAGAAATCCTATCGAAGCGTGCAATCGCCTGCGTTTGATTACTCGCGGCTGATCGGTATACGTAATAAAATTGCGTCTCGATAAAGCTCACGGATCAATATAAAATATATCCGAGAGAAGGATTGAAATTGGAAATGGAAATGCGATCCTGAGGGAGGAATTTAAATCGGAGTCGAAAACATATAATAAAAGCTCGATCGGCGCCGATCCCGCCGAATTCCTGTCGGGTGTCGGATCTCCTTTCACTCCTGAAAAACATTTTATTATTGACCTTTTCATATAATGTCGCGGAATTCGCGCGACGTCCTTTTAAAGACTACACGATGCGAGGATCCGCGAATTACGTGTCTTTCATTCTCATTTTAATATTAATTGCAGAGCGACATTTTTGCATCGAGAGCGAGAGCCGCCGAAAGACGCCCCGTCGTCGCCCTCGCCGACAGTCGGGAGTACGGTCTTTTAATCTTCTCCGCAGAAACTTCTTCTGTTATCAAGGCCCGCGATCTCGCGGCGCGCGTGCCCGAAGCGTCCGTCGCGACAAGAGCTATCATTATAGGAAGAGCCCACGACGAGCATTACGAGCACTCGTCTCGTTGCGGTCGCTCGCGAATGCGAGTCTCGTCAGGGTCAGTGTCGTATTTAATCTCGGGGAACGCTTATCCGCACGAGGAAACCCGACCTCGCGAAGGCTGGCGGCGGCGGCGGCGGCGACGGCTCCCGTCCTTTCGATATACTCGAGAAGATATAAATCAGCCGGCTCGCCCGCATTACTCATTCGTCGAACGATACGTCGCGTGCACGGCGAATGGTGAATCGCGACATTGTCATTCTTCGGGGAAGATGGGGAGGAGACAAAAGGAGAGATAATCGCATAATTATCTCGGGACAAACGCTCGTCGGGCGTACACAATGGGAGTACGGCGCGAGAAGTGATACCGCGAGCGCTCCTCCGGAGCAACGCGTCGCATAAATGCCTGACCTGAGCATCATAAATGCCTTAGTATTCATTATAGATAACTAATTGACCAATCTCATGTGGAAAATGGATCGCAATGAACGACTGACGATATTTTCACTGACGATCTTGCAGATCTTATCTCAAGCAAAGATTAATTACATGGTCTATTAAACGCAGTCTCATTATTTCGCCCATTTCTTTGCTGCAAAAATAGTACAAATTAATAGTAACATTACTAGCAATAGCAGTAGCAATAGTAATTAATAGTAATAGTAATATTTCTATTATAGGGTTGCAATAACAATCATTTCCCTTAGTCTATTAATAACTTTTTCCTTTGATTCGACTATAATCTCTTTATGATTGCCACTACTTCAAAATGAATCGATACACCCTGCCGTTCGTTTTCTTTTTCGTCTTGCAAGAAACTCGCGAGGGAGAGACAAAATAGAAAAGAGAGCAAAGCGAGGAGGAAGAAGGACGGACCAGCAGCTGCGTCGAAATCTTTGACTGTTCCCTGGGATGGGCGCAGAAAGGTCACTCAACCAGCGGCAGTAAAAGCGGCCTGGGACCGGTGGCGTGGCCTTGATTCTACGTTATAAGACCCTTCGAAGACCCACGGCGAAGGCGTGTCGATCAACGGCGAACGGATTAGCCACTTTCGACGCCTCCGTGACATTTTCTCCATAATGGAGAGCCTGGATGTCTGATGAGCGACCATTCGCGATTTGCGCCCAAGCTGAAACGATGATCGGTAAGAGTTCGATGAGATTGGAAACAACGAGATCAACTAGCGTAAGGCGCGTTTAAGATCTTCCCCGATTTCAAAATCGCCTCGTCTCGTTGATTTTTTTGCAATTTTGTTCGTTCGCATTCGTTCTCACAGAGAAATCTTTTGTACCAAACGCGGCTAATTTTTCTTTATTTTATTTATCTATCGCACTCTCGACAAGATTATTACTATTATTATTATTATTTGTGGAATCGTCGAAAGTTGACTCCGAGATTTCGCAATGTCTGCCAGGGAGACGCGCGTCGCGCCACTAATTCGGTTTACTTATGATTTTAGTAGCACGGATTGTCCAATTATCGCCAAATCGTCATCTGTTTCGTAATACATCCTCGTTCTTTCACACGACGTTTGATTTACGCGACGTTTCGCACCCGCCACGGTCACGCTCGTCGTCTTCGTCTTCGGAAACCCGTTTGACTCACATTCGCCTCCACAGAAGCCGTTTCGTGACTTTAACGCGTGTCAGAGACGTCTCTCGCAGATGTGTGCGCGAAATATGACGTATATACTTACGGATCCCTGTCGCGGTGTGTTCTCAAGTAGCGAAAGAGAGATGGAGATAGTCATTCTATCGTCGCGAGAGGATCAATTTGTTCGCCGCGAGTGTTAATAGCGTTCCTGTGTAGCGATTTATCTATCGCGAAAAAGCCATCGAGATAGCCGTGCTTGCGCCTCTGCCGCGAGATGCACTAATGGCTGATGGGCCGATTATTATGAAATAACGCGTTATTGGCCCACGAACTTGCGGCGATAAATAACGACACTTTCAGCAACTGCACAACTCTCGGTTTCGTCCTATTCTTTTTTCCGAAAAAAAAAAAGATCTGTGAACTTATCCGTGAGCTTCTCCATTTATAAAGAGTATGAGCGATGCGTACGTATGTGGGATGTACGTGCGAAAGAAGTTATTTCGCCTTGATGTTAATCGATAGTTATGCGATCGTTCACTCCGAAGAAATAAACAGCTATGAATTCATAAAACGCTTTTTATCATCTTCTTTTTTTTTCTTTCGAAGGAAGGGCTCCTACGGGAACCGAGCGATCGTTTGGACCGCCAATTGGCAGGCAATCCGCCGTTGATTTATCGGCGCAGCCCTTAATCGCGAGGTACACTACTCATAATATGATACAGCAATTACTTTAGTACTTTACGACAGTATAATTATGGACATTTGAATTAAAAAGAGAGAGAAAGAGAAAGAGAGAACGGGATGAAAAAGAGGAGGTCGTTTGAGTCCCGACTAAGTCAACTTGACCGCATCGATGATACTTCATCTCGCTCGCCCATTAACGATCGACGATTATGGATTCATATATTTCATTTTTTATTTTCTTTTCTCGCGTGGAGGCCTGTGACACATAAAATTTATATTTCTACGGTATTAACTCCCTCTCTCTCGCTCTCCCTTCGCCTTTTTCTTCGTCTCTTCGTCTCTCGCTAGAGATGGCATTGAACTCGGCGCAACGTTTAAGCGCCGCGCGTCCTCACACCTTTAATAATATAATCCGGCTAATAATGCTCGAGGCGGGCTCGGGCGTCGAATCGAACGTCGTGCGTGCGTTCAAGCACACCTATACAGAGGCGCACGGTAATGCAATTAACCGGCCGGGGACCGCTATACGCTCGAATTTGAATACCCGTCCAACTCCCCGGACCCCCGGGATCTTTGTTCTCCTGACAAACGTTTCTCTTTACCGTGTCGGTCACCGGGCGTTCGCCTCCGCGCACGTATTTAGAGCTCTCCAGTGCCATGAAAGAAGAAAAATTACTCGCGCCTGCACCGGTACCCGGTACCACTGAAAGATAGATACCTATTCTGCCAAATTCTCCCCTGTGAGCAAAATCAGCGGTATGCTAACAGGTTCGATCCAAAACATTGCGGCAGATTGAATCCAATAAATTACAATCTAACAAATTCAAGGGGTTGTGATTCAACGGATAGTGCATAATTAATTGTGCGCCGAACTCTTGCTCTCTCATATGTAGTCGCTTGATTTCCAAGATCAAGGGTTCAGTATGCAACTAATTATGCAGCGCGCATTAAACTCGCCTAATTAGAAGTTAACAAATGCTTCATATTTTTTGCGAATTACAGTGTAAGACGCGCCGCGTACCAAAAAGCGTAACACGATAAGAACGCGCAAAGACGAGGACGCGCCGGGATGAGGGACGCGTAGGTAGATAACGACCATAACGATCCTGCGGCCCGTAGCTATTCTAACACAAATTCTATCCCTTTCACTCGCGGCGCACTTTTAAACTTTCCAGGCAAGAAAAAAATCAAGTCGATAACTCGACCAAACCCGTAAGTTCAAGGCGAATCGCTGCCACTCCCTCAGGTAGGGTGCCTTATTTTTGGAAGACATCCAAGACCCGTGCCATTATCGCAAACGTTGGACTCACCGACTTTCCTACCCCGGTGGTATAATTCATATCGCTCATCCTGAATCCCTTGAACTCCCCCGAACCGCCGTTCGCGGGGGCAAATTGCTACTTGAAGATCAGAAGATATCGCTGACTAATGGATCGCTTGGTAAACCGCCTCATGACGATATTCTCGCTAAGTACACAGTTGAGGAACAATAACATATTTCTTGTGGTATGCGACGGCTGATGATCCGTTTCGGCGGGGGTTCGGCATCAACGTCAACCACCAAGGACACTGATTCTCTGTTTCCTCAACATTTCTTCTCCGTTGCAGCTTCTCTCGTCGTCAGCTTCTGTCATCTGGTGTCAAATTTCGTGCCGTTTCTGGCACGATGGTGCGAATTCTTTACGAATAAGCTTTTATTTTTATCTGTAGTTTTGATTGTAGTTAAAATATTAATTGCAAAACTAATCACTGTATTTTTAAAAAATGTACCGTTATAAGATGTCGCAAGAAACTACATAATGACGACGACTTCTCGCCCAAATGATTAAAAATTCGCGACACCGTTATCTAATGGCGAGAATCCTTTCTAATGTATACACATACACTATAATGTTCCGTCTCTCCGTTCTATATTTGTTCCAATACAATAACCGCCGTATGACCCGTTAATAACCGCGAGCGAAGTTTGAAGGTCTCG